CCCAGGCTAACAGGCAGGCCATCTGGATGGAGAGACCCAGCCCTCGGCCAGCGGGGGACATGGCGCCGGCCAGGCAATCGGGGAGAGTGTCTCACTCCCAGGTGACAGTGGGGCACCCTTGCTCAGGATGGGGGTGGCTGCAGGGAGTGGGGGGGCCTGGGAGCAAGGGCCAGTCAAAGATGGAGGAGGAGAGGCCTCCTGCCTGTCCAGGGGGTGGCTCCCACCCTGCTGGACACTCCAGCCAGCAGCCTCTCTGGGGCTAGGCTGGTCCTGGGGTCACACTGGGGGTGTACCGTGGGGTATAGTCTTTCTCAAAAAGGTCAACTCCAGCCCGGGCGGCGTGGCTCAGTGGTTGAGTGTTGACCTATGAACCAGGAGGTCATGGTTCAATTCCCTATTTGATAATCCAGAGGTTCCAACACAGGATGGAAGCCACTTGTTTTAACGTGTGGCCCAGCCTGGTATAAATATCAAAGCGGGGGGCGGGGGGATTCATGTGGCAATAAAAACAAAAAGGGAAAAGAGAGAGAGAGAGAGAGAGAGAGAGAGAGACTAGAGGCTCTTCTTTAACCACCACAATGCACCCTGAGACTCTGAGCCACGAAAACGTGGCCGGTCCCCGGCGGGCCTCTCTCCTCATCGCATCGGGCTATAATTACGTCCGCATCGCCTCCGTGTGTTATTATTTACATTTCCGATGGTGTCTGCACAGTTGGCGGGGTTCCCGAGGAAGCCTGTCCTGTTGGCGCCCAGAGCCGGCGGCGCGTCTCCTGCAAGGGTGGCTGAGGCCCCAGACAGCTGAGGCCCTGCAGGCGACAGCTAGGAGAGTTTCCTTCTCCCTCTCCATCCGCCCCTCTCCTCCCCCGTCGCCCCCTCCCTTCCTCTCTCACGTCTCGGGGAGCATCTATTAGAATCACTTGTGCAGTAGCTAACGACCCGTTATAGCGGTTGGTGCTCCCCCTGCGTGATGAGAAAGTGCGTTGTTGTGTAATTCCGAAATTCATTAGCAGAGAATGCAGGTGGGAGTCGGAGGCCTCCGGCGCTCCATCATGCATCTGGATTGTGTCTCAGCTCCAGGGAGCATTTCTGGGCTCACCCAGCCACGGTCCCCATAAGAGCCACCTGTGACTCTGGGGATCGGCCCTCTCCTCTTCACCCTGGAGGGTGAGGGCAGCAGCACAGGGCACAGCACCTGCACCAGTGGCATGGGCAGGGCATGGGCAGGGCATGGGCAGTGCCTCTCAGCTACCCAGAGGGCCCTGAGGGCCTGTCCAGCCCAGGGGATGAAGGGGGTGTGGCCAAGCAGCCCAAACCCGGGGAGCCCAAGGATCTTGGCCTATGATTTCCCTCTCACATAGAAGGACAAGGTACTTAAGCAGGATCATGCCGCAGACAACAGGAGCAAGCAAGGAGGATGGCTGCTTCCTGCCTGGCTGTCCGGCGGAGCTGCGGGGACTGCCTCAAAACCATGGAGCAGCTCCGAGTCCTGCAGAACAGCCTGGGCCTCTCCAAGGCGGGTCGGAGGTCGTTTCCCACGCTCTTGCCTTCCCTCAGGCTGCGGGGACCGCCTCAAAGCCACGGAGCAGCTCCGAGTCCTGCAGAACAGCCCGGGCCTCTCCAAGGGGGGGTCGGAGGTCGTTTCCCACGCTCTTGCCTTCCCTCACGCTGTTCCCTGCACCAGGAACGTCATTCTCTCTCATTCACCAGTGTCCCCACCATGCCTGCAATACAGCTGATGCCTAACAAATACTGAATGAGTGAATGAATGAATGAATGAAGTCCCAGCTGCCAGTTCCTTCCCACGTGCATGAGGCCTGCTCCGTGGCCTCGGGCGGCGCTAACCTCTCTCCCCTCCTAGGACCTGCTTCCCAAACCTCTTCCAACGCTGATGCTACTCGCTGCACAGTATTGTTGCTTCTTTGTGAGTCTGCCTCCCCCATTAGACTGCAAGCTTCTGGGAGGCGCAAACCTGTCTCATCCACCTTTGCCTTCCCCTCCCTGCAACTCCCGGGCGAGCCCCGAGCCTGGGGCTTAAGACGCATTTATTGATTGAATTCCTGAGTAGGATTGAAGAGCGTGTGGCTCCAGCCCCTGAGAGCCCAGGCCGCTGCCCTCGGGACGGTGAGGGGACTCCACTCCAGGTCGCCAGGAGGAGCCGAGGGGCCAAGCAGGAGCCCCTCCTCCTGCCGTGGCCACTGAGCAAGGCCCCTGAGCAAATCCACGAGATCCCGGCCGCTCTGGAACGGGCTGCAGAGCAGAGGCAGGCTCATTCCATCACTAGAGGCCATTACTCATCTCCGGTCCTCTCTACCTGGCTGAACTCAACTCAATTCCACAAGCCAAGCTGGAGGGCTCACACTGCACACAGAACCACGGAACCTTCTCAAGTCCCAGAGAATGCCCATCGGCTCCCCGGTCTTTCCTAACAGAGCCATTCCCTCCGCGAAAACCCAGAAGCAAACCCACGTTGGCAGTGGCCTCCCGGAGCCTGTCCCCTCGGGACCAGGACTGGCCGAAAGGAACACGTGGTTGGAGCATCGACTCTGGTTTGAGCCGAACATCAAAGGCCAACGTGAGAGGCAGCACGCATTTATTTCCGGTCCAAAATCACAGCTACCGGGATGCACCGCTTCCGACGGCAACCCAAACAGCGCTGCGGTGAGGGGGTGAAGGCCGGGGCGTGAATGAGAAAGGGAAGAGGCATAATTACATCAACAGAAGGAAGGCACTGCTCTGGGAGCAGAGGAGCCGACACTGATGCTCATTCTAAAGCAGGTTTTTCATTTCCAGTCCGGTGGCCACCTGTCCGGCCGGCCGTCATGAGCACGGCTTCCCTGTTATCTTTGCAAACAGTCGTTTGGGAAACAGAGCTGCTGGGGGCCCGATTCGAAGGTCATCTCGCCCGGTTTTAGCATTTCGAAGGTTTGAGGAGTAAGACCGGAAGGCAGCTCCTCTGGGGCGGGCAGCTCTGACTCCGTGTGAAAGGGGCTCCATTTGTAGTGCTTTTCACACTGGACACATCGCTGAGCCTCAGCCCATGAATCAAAGGGCAGGGTTAGCACGTGCAGGGCGCCATCGCTCGGGGACTGGGCCCCGTGGAAGAAGAGCAGGGGAGGGTGGGCTGCCGTGAGGTGGGATGGCGGGTCCTGGAGCCAGAAGTGACTGCAGGGCCTGCAGGCAGCGAAACCGCCTAAAGCTGAGAAGGCCTGGCATCTGAGAAGCGGGCAGCTTGAGGGAGAAGAAGGCGGGCAGCCCAGCCAGGCAGAGCAAGCACAGCTGGCGAGGGAGGAGAGACTCTGTTCTGTGGACCCATCGCCCCAACTCAGGGGAGCAGCTGATGCCCCAGAGGGGGCGAGGGGCCGGAGCCAGGCCACGCACAGTCTCTGTGGGCCCGGCTGCTGAGACCCCGTGCTGGGGACCGTGGCAGGAGGAGCCCCCTGGCACCTGGGGAAGGGCGGTCTGCCCGATGCTGCCAGCCCTGCTCCCAGCTGCCTCGGTTGTTCTGCAAAATTGTGAGAAGCTTTGCGTGGGCAGGGGATGTGAGCACAAAGCTGATGCACGAAGCTGAGCTCGTGCAGGAGAGGGGACTTGCTAGGGATGGCCTGGCTAGTGCGGGATGACCCGGAATAGCCCGTGACCTTGACCGCCTCCTGTGACCTTGACCGCCTCCCACCCGCGTTCCCGGAGGTCTCCGTGGAGTCTGGGGGCTGCGTGAGGGCACGTGTTTTCTCGCGTCTGACGCCGCCCGCCGAGGAGCCCACTGCATAATGCATGAGGATAATAACGGGCAATGAGCAAGGGTGCCTGTCACACCACCTCTGGGTATTTTTAAAAGGCTGCTTTGTTTTCATGGGATTTTTAAAAAATAATCTTTCGGCGGAGTGAGTACACTAGCCGAGGCACAGAGAGGTCACCCGGGTCCCCCCAAGGCACACAGCAATTCTACCACAGCCCAGTGCAACGCGTAATTGAAGAAGACGGGCCTGCCGGGCACCTCCATGCTGGGGCCGCGCCAGTCTCAATCATGATGTGCCCTGGGGGGCAGGAGGCGTGGGGAGGGGTCCCCAAAGAAGGGTCCCACTTGGTAAAAGATCAAGGCAGTCACGCGTGAGCAGGAGCCACTGATCACTACTTTCTTCTTAACAATCTGAGCACCTATTCCGTTCCGCCTTCCAGCATCTCCACGTTCCGGCTGCTTTATTTCTGGCACAAGGGTGCGGAGTTTTAGCCAAATACGTCCAGGTGCCAGAGGAGAGACAGGCAGTTCTGTAAGCTTCTATGCTCACAGCGTTACCAAAGGGCAGGGACCATCCGTCTCCTCCGGACAGCTGGCTGGCGGCACGGATGGGGGAGGGGGAGGGGGGTGGTTGGCGCCTACAGGTACCTGAGGCACCCCCTGCGGTTCTGGGCTTCCCAACCCACCCATGCCAATTTCCCACGCGCGCGCGCGCTCTCTTGAAGAGCTTGCTAATGGCGCGCAGATTTTAATTCCTCCCACATGCAACATGAGAGCAATCCCAGACATTGTTTGTTTACTCCTCAACAGAACCGGAGGATGCGAAGGAGCCATAAAAATAATGCAGGCCGTTTGCAAAACACTCCCTGTTCACAAAGCCTTTCTGAAGGCGGAAGGCGGTGTGATCCATTTCAGGATTAGGAAAAAGGGACCCTCCCGTGGGACTCCCAGGGTCCCAAGCTGAGTGACAGGCCTGGGAAGGGACCGCTCGCCCTCCCTCTCTGCTCAACGCCATCTCTGCCTCCAGGGATGGGAGCCCCGCGTTGGATGGGGATGAAGGAGAGAGCTGGTCAAGAGCCAGGCCTGCCCTAGCCAATTTGGCTCAGTGGATAGAGTGTCAGCCCGCGGGCTGAAGGGTCCCAGGTTCAATTCCAGTCAAGGGCACATCCCCAGGTTGCGGGCTCCATCCCCAGTGTGGGGCGTGCAGGAGGCAGCCGATCAATGGTTCTCTCTCATCATGGATGTTCCTATCTCTCTCTCCCTCTCTGAAATCAATTAAAATATATTTAAAAAAATAAAAGATCCAGGCTCGCACTCAAAGGGGATTTTATTGTAACGCTGCTCCCACAGCACCGAGCCCAGCCCTGCCGCTGGCCCTGCCCCTGGACAGTTAAGTCACACAGCACCTCACCGAGGCCGGGCGGGCACGCGGGCCTGGGGAGGCGGGAAGTGGAGAAAGCGGATTCACCTCCTTCTCCTGAGAGATGTGGGTGCATCTTTTCGGGGTGCCTTCCTCCGGGGCTGCCCCAGCGGCTGGGACCTAGGAGGAGCCTGCATATGTGTGTATTAGCGCTCGCGGGGGACAGGGACGGGGTGGCTTCCCTCTTTCCTAATAAGCTGGGTCAGTGCAGCAGCCCTGCCGCTGGCCCTGCCCCTGGACAGTTAAGTCACTCAGCACCTCACCGAGGCCGGGAGGACACGCGGGCCTGGGGAGGCGGGAAGTGGAGGAAGCGGATTCGCCTCCTTCTCCTGAGAGTTGTGGGTGCATCTTTTCGGGGTGTCTTCCTCCGGGGCTGCCCCAGCGGCTGGGTCCTAGGAGGAGCCTGCATATGTGTGTATTAGCGCTCGCGGGGGACAGGGACGGGGTGGCTTCCCTCTTTCCTAATAAGCTGGGTCAGTGCAGATACCATGCCCACCGGGGAGGGAGCGCCCGTGCCTCCGTGAGGGCGAGAGGGGCCACTTCCAGGCCCACGTGTGGCCATCCTTGACCCCCAAGGCCAGGCCCCTCCACCCCGGGCTCAGGTGCCAGCACGAGAAATGGCCCCTGGGACGGTGCGGGCGATCGGAGCAGCAGGCGTCCCTCCCCAGGCCATCAGCCACTGCGTCCCTAGCTCAGCGGCTGGGCACCGGCCACCTAGGCAGGTGGGCATGGACGGAGGCCTCAGCGCAGGTGCCCAGGTGGTTAGTGGGAAGAAGCACCATCTCGGGGGGCAGGGGCAGGGGGTGAAGCAGGGACATCTGGACCAGAAGCTGGAGAATGACGCCTGCTGAGATCAGGCCTCAGGTGAGATCAGCCCGTGTCCTGGCCGCCAAGCCCCAGGGGCAACGGCCCCCCCCCCACCCCTGATCGGTGCCCAGAGGCCAGAGAACGGAGTGCAAAGGCATTGCCCAAAGAGGAACCTGTAAAGTCCCCTGGGGAGGCCAAGCCCAGGAGGCCCTCGGCCCGCGCTCACCTGGGGGGTTCTGGCAGCCGTCGGCGGTGGAGCCCCGGGCCCAGCGGCCATTGGACAGCACCAGGTCCCATTTGTGCGCCTCCTCGCTGCTCAGGGAGTCGGGGGACCATCTGCAGATCTCCAGCCGGGAGAACTGCCTCAGAAACTCCGAAAAGGACATCCTAGGGGCAGAGGGACAGACAGGCTCCGTCAAGAGAGCTGGGCTAGCTGGGCTGGGAGGCAAGGGCACGGTGCCTCCTGGGCACAGGGGACGGCCACGGGGCTAGTGCTCGGCTTTCCTACAACCACAGACACAAACACAGAGGCTGTGGTCCAGTCTCCTCACCACCGTTCGCTTCTCCTTCTTACCTACCAGAGCCCTTCAGACATCTCAACAGCCAAGCAAAGAGAATGAAGCGTGAACTGGGGTCCCCCTAACGAGGCCCCTCCCACTTCATTCCCACAAATGTCCTCTAAGCCAGGCCGGCGTCCAGGGCATCCGAGCACCTTCCTGAGCCCACCCCCAGGGACTCTGTCCCTCTTAGGGGGGAAGCTGAGCCTGAGGCCAGAGACCCGGAAGGATGGCTCGTTCCATTGGGACGATAAGGTGAGGCAGGCAGGTGAGAGCTCCACGCTGAGGGCCCGGGGCTGGCACTGCCAGGGCTGTGGACATCCTGGCACAGAGGCAGATCACGCCGGGGTGAAAGGGGAGAAGGATGAAAGGCCCCCCTGCCCCGGCCGGCAACCACGGCGAATTTCTGCAACACCCGAGGGATTCACCCCACATCCGAACAGGGGGTGAACCCCAACTGCGGGCAGCTCCTCACCAGAACTCTCCATCCTCGGCCTTCGTGTCCAGCTCTTCCTTCTTCCTGGGATCCACGTCATTCC